TTGTTTGCGAAGTGATAAACTTGTGAATTGCCATGTTTGAAAATACTGCAAAGGTCTATTTTTGAACTTTCGCGTAATTTGATCCGTCAATCAAATCGTACTTTTTAATGGTTTCCTCTCTGATTTTGTTGAGATCACTTCGTGTGTATATACTAAAACAATTATTCTTTCAATCTCGGTGAATAGTGGCCGGCTTTAGGAATATCTACCTCGCCGCTTCGCGTGTCGGGAAATATTTAGCAACTACTCACCTCAATTTCAAAGAATAACTGTTAAATAGTCGCATTACCTGTCTCGAAATTTGTGCGTGGTAACCTACAAAAGGAATGTTTAATTGCGCACGATTATAATCACTGAGAATTTAGCATTGCTTTTGAACGATATTGTAGTGAAATTGATCTTTAGCCTGAAAACTTTAAACGGTTCTACATTTGTGCATTTGAAAAACTGTCCTGAAAAATGAAAAATACGGTATATCTAACACCGCGCGCACGCAACGGGAATTAGTCTTGATGTGTTGGCGAAATGTCGTCTTTGACAAATGATTCGTTTCTTCGCCTCCATATAAGGACATCTTCATGAATGGACGGTGAAACTATCGATTTGCATAACAGACAAGACGAACCTTTCCGAAATTCCAGGCGCATTTCTCGGCAAGGTCGGTTTTCTAAATAGCTATGGCCTGCTGAATAAGATCTGACCGGTTACCAAATTTAATTTGATCTTTAAGCTAAGAAATCACCTATATAATTAATGCACCATAAATTACATTATAATACTGTCTTATTATCATGAGGGATATTAAAATGGCCAAAACGTACTACAAATTGCCCTTTTCATAGACAAACACTATCAACTATCGATTATAATTTGGGGCTAATTTTGAAATTAACAAAGCAACCTTTCTACGCACTACAAGGATTGGGTATAGATAACCTATTGAGCTGCTCAAAACACTCACCTGTTCAGTTTTTCTCTAGCTTACAGTCTTTTTAAAAAGCAAATACATCGACGAGTTTTGAGTTGCAGCAAGTGCAACGTTTATGGGTGGTCCATGCAAGTATTTCCTCTATCTGGGGTGGTATTGCTGCATGCACAAAATCTAGTACAAAATAGCTTTGCTTTTTTTTTTTTTTTTGCTTTCAGCTTCAGCGCAGCGTGTTGTAACCACTTTCGCGTAAACATGAAATATAAAGCGTTTGCGTCATCAAGAGTGTATGCATCGTATTTTATGCTAGCTTGTTCCAGACGTTTAGACGTACGCGGCGAGCGCAAAAAGAAACACGAGGGGAAAAAAACGAGGGGAGCCCCGGCTGAGGCCCTATTTTTTCCCGCGTCAATTTTTCGCCTGCTCCCCACCATCTGAACGCCTGGAAAAGGCCAATTTTATGTATGTCTGTATCATCCCATCTGCTCACGGCGCGGACGTTGAGGACTACTGACAGCTAATCGCCTGTTTCCAGATGAGTGCTAGGCCTCAGGTTTCCCCATCCGGGAGTAGAGAATAGGGCGCACATGATCAAAAGATTCAACTCCTCCGTCAACTTTGTACATCTTGCAAATGAATTTTTCGGCCAACTTAACTTTTGCTTCATTTAGCTCGCCCTCTCCTTCTGAAAACAATAGATCATACCTCTGACAAATAACCCTCAAGGTCGACTTCTCTGGTCAATAACTTTACATTTCTCCGCTGCATACTCCAGCTCATCGCACATCCAGATCAGTTTCACTTCTTGCTGGGGACTGTGTTTTGGAAAGAATGCAAACATGCCAGATGGTACTTTGCCCCCGCTGAAATCAAATCGCACTCGTCCGCAACTCGGAGACGGACCGGTTGTGATAAGACGGGACTGCTTCGAAACTTTGCTGACACCACAGCTGATAAGCGCCCCTTTGGGTTTTCCCTTTGGCAAAATATGTATTTGTTCCAATGAACTGGTTCAGCCTGACTGCGTGTAACATAGGAAGAGGCAGGAGCTCAGTGGTTACATTCCTTACATTCGTTGGCATGTTCAAAGAACTTTCGCTGTAAACGGCGTTCACTTTCTTCTTTGCTTCTAAACTGGGCACAACAGTTGGAGTGCCATAGTATAGAAATATCACTCCTTCCAAGTGCATATTCCAAACAATCAATCACCTCTCGGTTGAGGGTGACGATGGGAGTAAAAACCCGCGTATAAGAAAAAAATATATAGAATTAAGAAATTTTCTCAAAAAAAAAAAAAAAGAAATATATATATATATATCTAGCCGAATTTTTGAAAACATACCTCAAAATGGACCAGAATATTCGCACAGAAAGCTGGCGATCGCCGAAAAAGCGTTGTACCTTCCGTTAGTCCTGGTCTGGGAGAGTCAGTGCACTGCTCATGTCTGCCTTTGGTTTGTCATGTCAAATTCTTGTAACGTTTGAGGCCCATTGGCCAATGAAAGCATTCCCCTTAAGCACGTGCTAGGCTGGGGGGGTGGAGGAAGTCAGGGGGGGTGATTTAACCTTGAA